GATTAATCATAAGAAAAGATCAGTCTGTTTTTTGATTAGATAACAAGATGAATGAAAGAGAATATATCATATGTTAAGACCGTGATCAAATACAGGCAGTTTTGTTCATCGACTGTTCGTTATGTCTGCAAATGAAGCAGGAGAGATGATTCAAGGCTGACTGATTATCCTTTTACATTCCAAACCAAAGCGTTATCCTTTTTCATGGGCCAATGGTTTGAGGCCCAAAACGTAATTATGAGTCATCCCCTCCGGTCAAATGCTTGAAAACTCGCCTCAACAAATATCAAACCTGTGTCAAATTATTATTAAAAAAAAAATAAACTCTATTATGAGTGTAGTAAATAGTAAATATGATTTATGTCATTCTCATGTCCCGTACATTCTCTTCCGTCTAATTGGGAAGTTTTAATAACAGCTGCTTTTTTTCTTTCTGTAAATTGTCACTTTCAGGTCAGCTGGTTTATGTAACTTGATTTTGTAACAAGATTTTATGACGTAGCAACGGTGCTGCTGTTAGGATTATATAATTTGAATGATTATGAAAGCTTGCCACTTGTTGGTTATGAATACTGACTTTTGGTACAAAACAACTAAGCACGGTAAAGCCTTTAATCAAAAAAAGAAAAGACAATTAAGCACGGTATAATGGAAAAACTAATAGAGTAGACCAACTCACGAATGAGTAATATTCTATAAGTTGTATGCGGCTCCGATTTTTTTTTTGTTTAACGTATGTATTAGCCTATTACGTTTGCTCTTTTAAAATGCGGTAGGTTAGAAAAGATCCTGACAATATACCGTATATACGAGAATCTTAAACTCTTAAATATGCTAGAATTTATTATAGTGAAAATAACGTACTCGAGATCGATGGTTAATAGTACTCCAACTTGCAAATCGGATTTTAAATGGAAGAAAATCTAATATATAAGTTTAATTCGACTTTTTCTTTTGGAGAATATAAATCATAATTTAGGTGTTTTGTCAACTCCTTTACATTATACACATTTGAAATACCATGAACTTTTATAATTTATAAAAACATAGTTTAATAGTTAGAACATGAAAATATATTCGAGATTTTATAACCTATAATATAACAATTATCTAAGTACACATGTTTTAAAATATAAAGTTTATACTATAATTAGATAAGATGAGACTGGGAGATAATGATTTGTTAAGTTGTTATTACATACTTCTATTGTTTAATTATATAAAAAATAATGGTATAGATCTATATATTATTCATTAAGAGTATAAACGATATTAACAAATTTAACTTTTAAGTTAGAGTTTAGATGAGAAAAATTATTTCGCAAATAATAGTATCTATCTATCTATTTATCTATATATCTATCTATCTATCTATCTATTATTATAAAGTAGACTTTTCCCTCATTCTAGGGTACCATATCACTAATACAATGCATCACATTGCGACACGTGTCCACTAAAACTACATAATGTTTTTCACTAACTTAATTATGCGATTTATATGGACTTCGTTGTGTGTTGTTAGGCCTCAATAATATCCTCAAAGACTCATACTATTATCGTTAAAAATAAGATTATTCATCTGCACCGTTTTGGAATCTAGGGTTCATCACAATCTTCAATCCCTGGCATTAGAGAGATTGAGATGCAGAGGTCAATGTGAAAATTCTGTTCGTTGGGATTTCATTCACGTTTTTTCACCTTCTTTATCTCTATTAAAACGAGATAGTTTCTAGATCCATCACATTAATCTAATGGTAGGTTCATACATATGAAAAATATATACATAAGTTATTAATTTATAATTTAGTAGGACCATATATATATATATATATATATATATACATAGATTTTTTGCTAAAGCTATTATCTTATTATTTTATCGATTTGTGGCAAATTTTGTACCGTCCCAAGTTGAGATCGGGGAAATTTATTAATTTATCGAGTATAATTTATAGAGGTTCTACTATATATATTTTTAATTTTAGGTACTATGAATACTTATCATTGTATATTTATTGATTCAAAAACCAACATGATATGATAAGTTATTATTATATTTTCAAAGTTTTGAATAAAACGTCCAATTATTTAAATTTGACAAAAAAAATTAAAAGATATATGTTTATTATTGTGTTGAAATTTAAAAATAATCACATATTAAATTATATTATAAAATATCTTTATGTAAATGTTTTTAACTGAATAATATTTAATTATAATTTTTCTCACATAAATTTTGAAATTTAATAAAGTAATATTATTTTCAGAAGTAAAAGTCAATTATATATTAAAACACAATATATATAAGAATTATCATGTAGTTATAATATTATTTCATCATTACAACACAATATATATATATATATATAAGAATTATCTTTTGAAATTGTTTTTATCTTTGCCAAATTTATTATATTAGTTTATTTATAGTCAATTACTTAAGCTAACATATAAATATAATATTATTAATATAATATTGTTTTAATTATATCATAACTTATATATATTAATTTCATTAAGGGTAACAATTAAATTAACCACTCTAATTTTTAACAAAAAAAATCACTTCACAAATAATAATATAGCTTCCAATTTGAAATATTTGAACCGCAGTAATTGTATGTATGATATCCATCCATTGTTGACAAAAAAAAAAGATATCCATCCATTGGAAAATAACTTATCAAGAAAGTAAAGAAAAATAATCATAAAATTGTAATATCTTCCTTTCAATATCAAGATAAACATAATCTATAATAAAAATAATGAAATATACAAAAAGAAAATTAAAATAACTTAATTTAAAGTTATATACACATTTTAAATATTCATTATAATTTATGATATATTAGGTAATTCTTTTATTTACTAACCCATCCGTAGACGGGCCAATCCTAGTAAATAAATATAGATTGAGTTTGTGTTAATAAAAGAAAGAAGATTGAACATCTTGATGATGGATATCTTATTGTAGTATATTGTTTGGTCAAAAAAACATTCAGTCCATCACAACCTATAAATTAAGTTTTCTAAAAATAAAGATTTTTGGTTAGTTGTTTAATGTTAGTTAACAGTCTCACTTAAATTCAGAGATTAAAAATATCTATGGCTTATTATTGGTTTATAATATTAATCTTTTGTTTTTTTTTTAGTCAAATAATTTTAATCTTTTGTTATCTGCGGGTTTTGGTTCACAATACTATATTTAGTGAAATTTCAGATGTCCAGACTCTATATATTGTAGTAAGAAAAAAGTTTTGTATTGTTTTTATATCCAAGCTGCGACATGTAAGTTGACTACAACAAACGTCCAATATGAATTACGGCCCAGTAGAGTAATCAAAGGTCAGAGATAGCAATCAAAACGAGACCGTTTAGTTTCCGTATGGTGGGAGACCATTTAAACGACGCCACTGTCTTTAAACGACGCCATTTCGAAGATGGTCAACAATGGTGGGAGAAGTTGGAAGCGCTGAACAAGGGAAGAGACTTCCTCGGGATCTTATTTAATCCTCTATAAACGGCGTCGTTGCAAGGTTAGGTGAGTTAATGAAAAAGACAGATCGGCGACGGGCCGTGTCTTCCATTACTTTATAAATATAACATATCTTCTCTCTCTCGCTCGTTCACATGTCTTGAAATTATTCCGAGAGATTTGGGGAATCAAAAGATAAGATAAGGTATGGCTCGCTTTTTTATTCCATTTTGTTTGTTTGCTTTTGTAAGTGGTTTAATTCTCTGTTTTCACGACTGTTTTTTATTTTTATTTTTAGATTTTATCTAAATCTTTTATCCTTTTACTAAAACACACGTTTAGCTAAACAAAAAAAAATGATAAGTTTAAAGGTAATCTTGTCATTACTTAAAAGGTGGGTGTTAAAATGGAGTAATCGTGAAAGCTACAATGAGCTGGTGGGTTGTCTTTAAAAGCGATTCACATATTATTATATAAATAATTGCATGTGGCTGCTCTTTGAATCTGCAGACATCCTTCAAATATCTTCCTCTCCTTGCAGCTTCTTCCTGTGAATTACTCTTTCATCCAAAAGATTCATCTAAAGGTATAACCTTTTTCCCTTTTTCATCCTCTTTGAATTTGATGTTTGTTATATCTAGGGTTCTTCCTTTAAGGATTATAGCTGAATCATAAAGAAAGTACAATCCTTTATGTGTTTTTTTCTTTTTGTTATTGATGGAATGTTTCATGATTGTTAAAAACAGAGTTAGAAGAATCACAACATGTTGGAGAAAGAGTTTTTCACCGAGTATGGTGAAGCAAGCCAATACCTGATCCAAGAAGTTGTCGGAAAAGGAAGCTACGGTGTTGTTGCCTCTGCCGAATGTCCACACACTGGCGGCAAAGTGGCGATCAAGAAGATGACTAATGTCTTTGAGCATGTCTCTGATGCGATACGGATACTCAGGGAGATTAAGCTGCTCAGGCTTCTTAAACATCCTGATATCGTGGAGATTAAACATATCATGCTGCCTCCTTGTCGGAAGGAGTTCAAGGATATCTATGTTGTCTTTGAGTTGATGGAGTCGGATCTTCACCATGTCTTAAAGGTAAATGATGACCTCACTCCTCAGCATCATCAATTCTTCTTGTACCAACTTCTTCGTGGCTTAAAATTCATGCACTCAGGTAAGTTTTCTTGGTTCCCTTTTTAGGCTCTTTTTAAGAGTTTTGTATATGTGGTTTGTGTCTATCACAGTGTTTCTTATCATCTTTTTGGCTCCTTGTTTTGTGTAGCGCATGTTTTCCATAGAGATCTGAAGCCTAAAAACATCCTCGCTAATGCTGATTGCAAAATCAAGATCTGTGATTTAGGACTTGCTCGTGTCTCCTTCACTGATTCCCCTTCTGCTGTTTTTTGGACTGTAAGTATCTATTCTAATATGCAGAGAGTTTATGAATGCTTTATAATTAGTTAGTTTACTGTTCTGTAACAGAGAGGTATGTCTTTATGCAGTTGATTTCAAATGATTAAGTAACCAATCTTTGTCATGTTATTTTGCAAGGACTATGTTGCTACAAGATGGTACCGTGCTCCAGAGCTTTGTGGTTCCTTCTATTCCAACGTAAAATGCTTGTTCCGTTTCTATATAAGGTGACCTTATGCGTAAAAGTGTGAGCTAATGGAATTGGTATGTTTTGTGCAGTACACGCCAGCGATTGACATGTGGAGCGTTGGCTGCATATTTGCGGAGATGCTAACTGGGAAGCCCTTGTTTCCTGGCAAAAACGTTGTGCATCAGCTTGAACTCGTCACGGATCTGCTTGGAACACCTTCGCCGATAACTCTATCCAGGGTTTGTTTTGTTTAAGCTAAATCGCAATACAAGAGGCTTCTCTCTCCCAGACAAACTTGCTTTGGTTGCAAGTTTTTTAAAGTTTTGTGTGTCATTATAATGGAAATGTAGATTCGGAATGAGAAGGCTAGAAAGTATTTGAGTAACATGAGGCGAAAGGAACCTGTTCCTTTCACCCATAAGTTTCCCAATATTGATCCTGTGGCGTTGAAGTTGCTTCAGCGTTTAGTTGCTTTTGACCCAAAGGACCGTCCCTCTGCTGAAGAGGTAAGAGGAGAGAAAGCTGAACTCATTTTTTTCCCATTCATTTTCATGATTCTTGATACTTTTGTTTTGCTTCCTTCTTCAGGCATTGGCTGATCCGTATTTTCAAGGATTGGCAAATGTGGACTACGAACCTTCAAGGCAACCTATCTCGAAGCTCGAGTTTGAGTTTGAAAAGAGGAAGTTGACTAGGGATGATGTGAGAGAGCTCATGTATAGAGAGGTAAATAAAAGACATTTTTAGAGACTAAAACGGGATTAGAATATTTAGGAATCTCTTGAACTGATTAGTTCTCTTATGGATATGAAAAAGATTTTGGAGTACCATCCACAGATGTTGCAAGAGTACTTACACGGGGAAGAGAACATCAATTCTCATTTTATGTACCCGAGGTTTGTCCTTATTTCGGAATAGAAACTTGGTTTGTTTGGTGGAAAAGAAACTTTTGTCTGATTACTGTGAATCGGTTATGACATTCCAGCGGAGTTGACCAGTTCAAACAAGAGTTTGCAAGACTGGAAGAACATGACGATGATGAGGAGGAACGTAACTCCCCACCAATCCAGAGGAAGTACACTTCACTTCCAAGGTTAGTACATACTTGTTGAAGATGAACCATGATGATGAGTTTAAGCGATATAACCACCCACGCTGCTGTTGTTTTGTTTGCAGAGAACGGGTGTGCTCATCAGAGGACGAGGGTGGTGATTCGGTTCACGCCCACGCCCAACCGTCTTCGTCTTCAGTGGTGTTTACACCTCCACATACTCCCAACACAGAGACTGGGTTATCATCAAAGAAGACAGCACAAGCAGAGAAAGCAGCAGCAACTCCGGTTAAACGGTCTGCTTGTCTAGTGAGGAGTGATAGTATCTGTGCTTCCAGATGTGTCGGCGTCTCTTCTGCAGTGTCTTAGTAAAAAAAAAAGGATTTTCAAGTTGTTTAGCAGCAAACCATTGATTGTTGTTCTGCGTTATTGTATGAGGTTTCACTTGAACTCTCTTTTCTTCCTCTTTGCTGTTCATCTGGTCATGTTGTGTGTAATGGTTTCTCTTGGAACTTGAATTCATATCTATTTTGTACTTCTTTAGAACCATGTATATACCATCTATTTATCTATTAATCTGCTTATGATTGTCGGTGGTTCGAATACAAACTAAATATGGGGTTTAACAAGCACCAGCTTTGTTTGATTGATTAACACAACCTATTTTTATTTCTGAAAATGACATTATAGTATGTTCATTAACCTTTAGTTATTTTCTTGAAAAACCTTTTGGTTTTCTGGACATAAACAAATTCAAACTGAGTTAAAGAAATATTGACGAAGGAGGACTTGAGGAGTTTTCAATTTAAGATGTAGAGTGGTATTTCAAACATGAATTTAAAAATTATTTGAAATTTAGTGAAGTTGTGATTTTCAAATATAATTTATTTATAATATACAGTTAATAAAAATATCTGAAATAATGAATTGTAAGAGACTTGTTGTGGTTTTAAAACAAACTAGATCTTGACCCGCACAACCGTGCAGATGATTTTTTTCATTTTATACAAATAGGAAATTTACATGATTAGAGGTATATAATTTTAATATTTACCATATTGCTAATAGTTTAATATAACATTTTCAAACACAACAACTTCATAATTTGCATGCAGTAATTTAATATATTGTTTCAAATTATTAGTGAAACATTTCTTATTAAAACATGAACACTAACTAAAATCTTACATTATGTGATATTTAGAAAATGTTAATTTAATTTAATATTAACTTACATATTAGTTTCCTTAAGACTGTACTTGTATTTTAGGTTTTGGTCCTTTATATACGTTAACCGAATTATCTGTATGAATAATTTTTTTGACTGAATAACCTATATTAAGTGTAATTTATAAAATTTCTACTTCAATTAAATTATTAAACCGGAAATTGTAATACATTGTGTTTGTTTTTGTCTTTTTAAACGTAAATTTTCTCTTTATTATCTATGTTTTTGAGGTTTCTTATATTGTAAATTGTTGATTTATATTTTACTATCCCAAAAATTTTAGATTATTTACAATGAATTATTCAATATTAAAGCTTTATTGCAATTCTTCTTTTATCATACATCAATTTTTATAATTAACACTTAAACCTACAACTACATTTGATAATAAACACACCATAAATAAAAATATTCACATGAATGATATTTTTTAAATCATTCATCTGTCATTTTTGTTAATGAAATTAATTGGTACAATATCTATTGCTCTTTGAAAATTACATACGATAAAAAACAAAAACATTTACACTAATGAATAGTGTATGAATATGGTCTATATAAAAATAAGTTTGATTATTTTTTTGTAAAACAAAGGAGTCATATACTTCTAAAATTGAAATATAAAATTAAACATGCTACTGTATTTGATAATATAAACTAAATGCATTTTCAAATTGTATTTATATACCGATCGTTCATATTAATAGCATATTTTCAATAGTGTGGTACGAAATTCTGAACTAACAAATCTTATATTTTAGAGATCAAAGATTTAATTAAAAACTATTAGTTGAAAATAATTTAAAATTATAGAACTTTTTTAATTTGCCTATTTAATATAATTTTTCATATTTAATTCATACATCACTGCTATTTTTATATAACACAAAATATTGTTATATAATGTTAATTTTCTTGTTTTATAATAAAAGTTAAGATAATATTGATTTATAGTAATATTATACTACTAATTATGAAATTTATTAATATGTTATTTTATAAAAAATATTTAAAAATTTAGTTAAGATTTTGTTGGATTTTTTCTCAACAGATTTTGTTATAATTAAAAAAAAATTATAGTTGATTTGTTATTAATATAAATAATCAAATATGTCATATTAACTAATTCTTTAAATGGTCATACTATGACTTGTTAGTAGTAGATAAAAATAGGAATCTAAATTAATGGATTAGATATAAAATCAATACCAAATCACTTTTGTAACGGATTGTTCCCAGCTGGTGAAGATGGTGTTGGAACCAGAGGAATTGTCGGCGTTTGCAACTTATTTGGAGTAGAATAAGACGCTGAAAGATAGCTTTCACAGCTCAGAGATCATCTATGTACCAAGAACGCATAACTCACGGATGGATAGTCTAGCACGCAGTGCCAGAAAACAAACGTCTTTTATCGTTCAGATGGATGCATAGTTTCCAGTTTGGTTTGTAGAATCTACATGAGTCTGTTTGTTTGATGAAAAAAAAAATTAACTTTCCTAATTCACCTTAAATTAACTTAAAATTTATTTAGGAAAATCAAATTACTTTAAATCTTCTCAAATATTTATATAAAAATGCACCCTTCTAAGTTAATCCCCTATATATTAATTGAGAAACATTTGAAAAGATGTAACCTCAAGTTTGTATTAATTAAAAAGTAACCTTGCTTAGTTGTCAATCAATTAGCATATCAATTAAACTGACGTGGCGGCTTTAGGTTCAATTGAAATTTGCTAGGGAAAAATAATTAAGACGCATATAACGCATGTAACATAGTATAGAGATTTATATATATCGCACGCATGTAATGGAAGAAAAGGAAAATATACGATTTGATAACGATTTGCATATATTAACTACTAGATGATTTTCCCGTGCTCATGCACGGGTATTAATATTCATAAAAGTAAAATTTTATAATAATTGATTGATATTTAGTTTTTAAGTTTTTTTTTACATCAAAAGGCTGATCTATTGATTTTTTAGCTAAGTCTGCTCGATCCTTTTAGTTTTGAATAAATTTATATGTATAATTTATATTATTCTAATTATACATATGACTTTGGATATATTATTGTTGGTTTAATTATTTTTTTAGATCAATAGTCGGTTTTAACAATTTGGTATATTGGATAATATCTATTTTTTTGAATTTACCTATAATATATTTTATTCTAAATATAATAAAACTTTGATTAATTTTCTTATTTTCATTACGGTTTGTTATTGTCTTAGATATGTAAATATATTATAGTTAAATTATGTATAACTTAATAGATATTGTGCTTAAAATGAAATAAATAATAAGCTGAAGTGTTTGATTCAAAATTACATAAATAAATATACTGATAATATTTTGAAGTCTCATGCATATATATAAATTCTACAAAAGAATTAAATCGTGACTGGTTAATATTTTCTCTTTAATATTTTAATATGCTTTGAGTCAACCTATAATTTATATGTATAAAATCAAATAGATTATTATTATTATTATTATTATTATAAAATTATATGTTCTCATTGTAGTTAGATGTTTAGTTTTGGATATAAATTAGATTAGTCGAGTCATTCATTTTGTGAGTATATTGAGTTAAATATATTTTTAAACTAAAATTGAAGTATAATTACTTTTTATTTTAGTTAAATAAAATCAAATTAGTTTTATTAATACTTAGATATACATGTATTTTCATAATATTTATTTACTCTTTATTTTAGTTAAGTTAAATCAAATTATTTAATTTATCGCTTAAATATACATGTATTTCATAATATTTATTAAATTATATGTTGATTTCTAAAAAAATATTATAAAACAAAGTGTAACTGATAAATTTCTGAATGTTTATGAACATATATATTTTATTATTGTGAAAATATATTTTATGTTATTTAAAATATATATTAGTAGGGGTATTACTATTTTGTGAACTTTCCTTTTTAATAAAATCATATTAGAAACATATATTTTCGTTTTTAATTTCGTTTTAAAATTTTAGAAATATTTCATTTTTATTATATAAGTTATTTGGAAAAAGTTAAAAAGGAAACTAAATAAAAAATTTAAGAATAATCAATTCATTAAGGGTATCTACGTAATTAACCATCACAAGAATTAACGTGAGCGCGACACATAGGAAACTGACTTCTCAAATAATATTATAGAGATAATAACTTCATTCCTTTTAATTTATGGAAGTGTATATGTAAAATGGAAAATACTTAAATTCAAATAATCATAACGTAATTTATAAATCATTGGTGTAAAGTTTTGTTACACAAATATGCAAATAATCATAAAATCATATGAGTAGAAACCTCATTTAATAAATATCAATATTAAAAGTGTGCTATATTACTATGTTTATATCATTTAAATTTAATCATATATCATATACAATATATAAGATTGATTATTTTGATTTATTTATCCTAATTGTGAATAAACAAGAGTAATAGTTAAATTTATATGCATACGCCAATTTGTTACATAATAGTAATTGATTTCTTAGTTATTTAATATATATATATTTATTATTTTATTATTTATAATATGCAGAAAAATATAAAATAAATAATAAATATAAAATACTTATTGTGCATAAAGTGCAGATCTTAACCTAAGTATTT